CCCCCCCCCCCCCCCCCCCGCCCTGCCCCCTGCACAGATCTGGGGGCACATGCCCTTCCAGGTTGCGCACATGGCGGGACCTGCCTCCCAACCTGTGTCCCCCTGGATAAGCCGCGACTCTGTTCCGTGCCCCCCTCTCCACCCCACCGGGGCAGCACCAGCCCCTGCCTCCCACACCTCTTTCCTTCCCTTTCACCATAACAGACTTACCAGCTGTATATAGCTGTATCAGAAATCGGATTGGTATCAGCTGATATGCCTTCTGAAAAATCTGTTATCACTATCAGCCCCCAAAATCTCTGTTGGTGCATCCCTAATGAGAAGCATTGCAGAGGATGCAAATGGACATCCCTGAGTTAGCCACAGCGTTTGGCATATGGTAGGACGTTTATGATGTGCTAAGATGTTTATGCCCCAAGATGAGGGCTTGCACATAGGACTGCTTGCGAAAGAGTACATGCAACTGGCTGCCTTCTTCATAACACCACCTCTTTGCTGCCTACCATCTGTGTCGTGCCCTGAAAATATTGTGACTCACTGCCTCAGTCTAGTGACCCCTGGCCTTAGGCTCAGAAATGTGAATGCATACAGTATGCCCTGGGTTATCAACAGCCACCTACTCTTAGTGCCTCATGTGAGCCAGGAAGTTGCCTTGCAGTGTGGTTCCAAGGCATGAGGAAGAAAAGGTAGAAAAGGACTCATCTGTGTTTCCCAAGAGTGGAAAAAGGCTCCCTGTTGGCACCAACGTTGTGGGTGCAAAAAAAAAAGGCATCTTTGCTGTCATGGGAACAGATCAAAAGACAATTCCTGCTTGTAACTTTTTCCAGCGGAGGCATCCGGACACTCAAGGACACTGACCAACCTCTGGGAAATTTGCAAGTAAGAAATAAAGCAACAAAGGAGTAAATGTTCAGAGGAAGCCTGTGTGAACCAAGGAAGGGGAGGGGTGGAGAGGGTTTTTCAAGGCTAAGTAGTAGGAGAGAGACAAAGATAGTCTGTGACCACAGAGCTGGCAGAGCAAAGACTTACTGTAAATTGGGAAATGGCAGAAATGGTCAGGGAACAGCAGAAGCAGCTGACAGAAAAGGTGAACAGGCACATTATTGCTGGGGTGCATGCACTTTTGAAGCTTCCACTCCCCCTCCACACCAGCTTCATCCCTCCGGACTCTGAAGATGTCCTTCTATCAGAAGCAGTGGTCTCCAGATCCAGCTCCTTCCTAACAAAAAGTGGGTTTGGGGAAGATGACTGACTACCTTTTGGTCCCTGTAACCCAAATGTGACATTGCTTCCACATTCTACCTTTTCCAGCATCCCAGTGGTTACCAAGAAAAAAGGCTGGAGTAGCTGGAAGTTTACCTGATGAAAACTGTTTGAACTGAATATTTCCTTGTTGCATTTTTTTTCCAGCCCCCACCATAATGCTGCTGCCACAGATTACGTTCAGAGTAGTTGATTTTGCCCCAGAGCCAAAGTGCTGCTATGCATTGCAAGTGTAGTATGCCCCACCCACCCCTTTTAAGATTAATAAAGAGGTACAGACCCTGTGTAACCAACCCTGCACACTGAAAAACAAGCTACAGTGCTGCCCTATCGTGTGCAGTGAAGGTACATCCATCCCCTGTGCTTTCAGAAATTCATAAATCTATACAGGGCCTGTGAAACACACTCATGGGCTGTGGCACTGCACCCGTGCTGCCAGACTGAGTCCCATATCCCTCAAGTCACAATGGACTCCTCAAATATAAAGCAAAGGACCCTGCCCTCGAAGGAGATCAATGGGCTCCTCAAATATAAAGCAAAGGACCCTGTCCTCGAAGGAGGTGCACAAGGCCTCTTTGATAATGCGCTACTGGATACTGTATTTAGGAAAGGGTGTCCTGCAGGTTGTGCCCAACATCCTCAAAGTGTCTGAGCCTTTGTTTCCATCACCAGACTCTTTCCTTTGTTTGCACTGATGTTGTGTAGCACACGGGTCTAATTCAGAGCCAGTATTGCTCCACAACATCTAATCTTCCCGGCATCTGTAGCCACCCACCCTTTAGTATCTAAAAGGCATGCTGTCATCCCGCAGCTGTTGTGGCAGGAGTTAAGCAGTTCTGTCCTAGGATGCAAGCATCCGGTGAAAGGCTTCATCGGCCATGAGTAGAGAAGTATCTATTTAGCTGTTTTAGTCTGAAGTCAGGCAGAAGGCAGGGCAGGGTGGCATCTTAGATACTAAATGCTTCAGAGCAGCACAAGGTTTCATGGGCAACAGCATAGCATCTGATGAAGTAGGCTGTCACCTATGAAAGCTTCTACTTCTCTGCATCAGTTAGGCACCTATACATGCAGTAAGGCTGTTCCAATATGCTTTAATTACAGCACATCGGAGCGCACACAGTTAATCAAAACTGCTGGAGCATGGTAATTATTGTACTCCAAAAGACTACAGCATTATGTGCATTAGTGTCCCCATGCTGAGAAATGGCAGTGGGGGCGCTTTAACTAAAGTTTGTTCGATCTTTAGTTAAAACACCCCCACCGCCATTTTTGGAGCTGCTCAAATTAAAGTGTTCCCCCCACCCCCAACACACACACACTCCAGAGTATGTGTATAAACACCTATATAAAGTGCTACCCTGTCCTGCCTTCATCAGCCATGGCAACAGAGGGGAAGCAGTTTGCCAAAATAATTGTTTGAGTATCATCAATGGTGTTGTAGAAAAGGGGCGCAAGTCTGCCTTTTTATTCTTGAATGAGAAGAGGCCTGAATTCTTGGAAATCCTGGGAGCAGGAGTTCTTCCAGTCCACCCATATTAGTGTAGGTAAGCATACCAGGATAGTCCATCAGGCATTGGAGCTCCCAGATGTTGTTCCCTGCCTTCCCATGGCCCTATCCGATCCACCCGCCCACCAGCTTTGTCTGGCACCCCACCATGGTGGGTGCAGGGTGGATGGGCCCAGGGTGCCTAGGCAGTGGGGCCAGGGGCCAGCAGCAGTAGCAGCAGGGCATGCACCTGCTCCCAAGCACTGGTAGTGGAGGCTACCGGGAAGCCAGGTCCAGCTGCCATGCCACCTCTGCCCTGCCACACTGCCGCATGGACTACAGCTCCTGGCATGCAGGAGAGCCACATGCAGGGACAGAGCAGGCTGTGCTAGGCAGCACCTTTGGACATGGGGGTGGTGGGACTGGCCACACGTGCCATGGCCTGGGCTGCCCCCAGTGTCTGGGCCAGGTGGGTCTGAGGATCCTGCCACAGGCCACCTAGAGTCATGCTGCTTTGCCCACCCCTGACATTAGGCAATAATGCCTTTTAACAGCAGTGTATGTCTTCACAGTGGGCTCAGCCTGTCACTGCTCCACCCTGGCTCAAATTGCTGCTGTCCTAGGCGCATGTGTAAACGCTGTGCCCGGGAGCGGTTTACTCCGGCTGAAACTGCTCCAGAGTTTATTGCCTCACATGAATTACATATACTGACGCACCCACTGAGTGCTAATTAGTACCAAATGAAAATTCTTCCCTTTGTCACAGGGGTATTGTCTGGATAAATTCTCTACTGACTGGGCAGTGCTTTAACACTATTCTGATGAAGCCTTAAGAACCTAGATTGAAAGCTGTATGAATGTTATGGGCTTATCTGTCATTATTTCAATCCCTTCCAACTGAACCCTAGCTGTCTGCATGATTGGTTGCTGAGTTGTTATATCTGGGGCAAATACAACAACTACTGCATCCATCTCTGCCCCACATGGTATGTGAGAAAGACAAGTGGAAGGGCCAGGCTTTTATCACTGAAGCAGAGGCAACAAGGATTTTCAGATGTGTCGTGAACTCTGGCTGTGCTGGCATTTCCAGTTGTGAATAGCGGAAAGGCTTTTTTCCTTTCAACAATCTCCTATAAGTTAAATAAACAATTTTAGAAAACTTGTTTGCGTTACCGGTCTAGATCTAGACTGTACTATTGAAATCTTACTTCCTGTTCAAGTTATATGGCTCACTGCTGAGTTTACAGTGGCTACCTTCCAGAAACCTAAGGGCTTCACCTGTGTCCAAATGATGTAGGCCCCTTACCCTTAGAAACTAGCAGTACAGTATGTCACAGGCCTTTCTTAGAATCATAGAAAATTAGGGTTGAAGGGACCTCAGGAGGTCACCTAGTCCAACCCACTGCTCTGAGCAGGACAATTCCCCAACTAGATCATCCCAGGCAAGGCTTTGTCTAGCTGGGTCTTAAAAACCTCCAAGGATGGAGAGTCCACAACCTCTCCAGGTAACCTGTTCCAGTGTTTTACTACCCTCCTAGTGAGAAAATTCTTTCGAATATCTAACCTAATTTTCCCTTGCTGCAACTTCAAACCATTGCTCCTTGTTCTGTCATCTGCCACCACTGAGAACAGTCCAGCTCCATCCTCTTTCAAAACCTGCTTCAGGTAGTTGAAGGCTGCTATTAAATCTCCTCTCAGTCTTCTCTAGACTAAATAAGTCCAGTTCCCTCAGCCTCTTCTCATAAGTCATGTGCCCCAGCCCCTTAACCTTTTTCATTGCCCTCCACTGGACTCTCTCCAATTTGTCTGCATCCTTTCTGTAGCAGGGGCCCCAAAACTGGACACAGTACCCCAGATGTGGCCTCACCAGTGCTGAATACAGGGAAATAATAACTTCCCTTGATCTGCTGGCAACACTCCTACTGATGCAGCTCAGTATGCTATTAGACAAGGACACACTGCTGGCTCATATTCAGCTTATTGTCCACTGTAATCCCCAGGTCCTTTTCTGCAGAGCTGCTGCCCAGCCAGTCAGCCCCCAGCCTGTACTGGTGCATGGGATTGTTCCCTCCTAAGTGCAGGACTTTGCACTTGTCCTTGTTGAATGTCATGAGATTTCTTTGACATTTAATTTCTCCAGGGAGAGTCCCTGCTTCCTCAGGAGAATCAACAAGTGTACAGAAGTTCTTAATTTTTCTCCCAGAGTAAAACTGACCACTCGGGGAGAAAAAAATAGCAAAGCTAACTATGGTTAAGACAAATCAATGTTGGGGTGGAATATACAGGTCCTGAGCTGCACCCCTCTCTTGGAAAAGCAGGCTGCTTTTTAATGTACTACTTTTAAATGTTATCTGTCACAAGATGAAGATAGATAGAGCCTGATGCAAAATGGAAAGGGCCCTTTGTTGACACACGTGATGCAGCTTCTTAAACCTGAACCCATTGGGACGAGAATGACTTGTGAATAGCTGCAGCTGAACAAAGGGAATTCAGAAAGGTCAAAGTAGGACTAAAGAACATTTCTTCACCTCATTCCTAGGCCTGCTGGGTGCAGTATTACCCAGTGCTGACAGAGGGAAATTAATCAGGTTTAAGATCTCATTTTCCCCTGGGAGGGACCAAAAGTTTGTAGGAAACTGGCATCTAGCAGCCTACCTGGACATTCGTAGTAGGAGCTGGAGGATGGATATGGCTGAGCTACTTCACGGAACTGTTAAATCAAATCCTTAGAGATGAACTCCAAAGGAAAAATGCAGATTAGGACATGCAGATTTCTACCCCGAGCAGCAAAGTCAATCTCCAAAGGCCTCCTAAGGTAGCCAGCAAATTAAGGTTTTAAGTACCAATTTAAAGCTTTGCCCCTTTTCTGACAACTCTTTTGCATTTCCTTACTTGTTGAAGACTCCAAACATCACCAGTGTCATAGTCCACTATAATTTTAGGGTATTTTCTATGTCACAGAATACCCTGTGGGACTCTTCAGGAAGCCATGGAGTACCAAAAGCTCTTTTTAGAACAAAAAATACTGTAAAAAAAAGTCCTAATTTCCTTCCATAGTTTGGGTTGGCCATGTATGCACCAGACTTTTTTCCAAAATTCCACATCATTGCTTCCAGTGATAGGGAGGTCATGAAAATCTTAACCCCCCATCATCTAAACTTGTTCCCGAGAGCACGGGAGCAAAAGCACTTACCCTTGTCTCTACTAGTATTTTCATAGATAAACAATGCTGTTGTAGGCCAGCCTTTATGGGCATGTTTTATTGCACAAAGCTGTGCTGAATTTGATTCCCTTCTAGTTTATCAGTTTGTCCTTTAATTTCTGCAAGAGCAAAATTTGTTAACAAAGTTATACAGCAGCTGAATCTTCTTGAGAATAAAATTAATAGATTCATAGATGCTAGGGTCAGAAGGGACCTCAACAGATAGTTTCATAGTTTCTAGGGTCGGAAGGGACCTGAGCAGACCATCTAGTCCGACCCCCTGCCATGGCAGGAAGAGCACTGGGGTCAAACGACCCCAGTAAGGTGGTCATCCAACCTTCTCTTAAAAACCCCCAGGGTGGGAGCCTGCACCACCTCACTTGGAAGCTGGTTCCAGACTCTAGCCGCCCTGACCGTGAAGTAGCGCCTCCTGATGTCCAACTTAAACCTTCCCTCCGCCAGCTTGTGACCATTGTTCCTGGTCACTCCTTG